CCCAGTTAACATGTTAGACGAGGCCTTGGCCCAGACCTCAATTTGATCAAAAATATCCAGGCGACTCTTCAGGAGAGCGTCTAAGAGCTGCTAGTAGCCACCAACATCGATTGCCTCACCAGACAGCTCCAGGAGGCGTGGACTAAGCTTTGGCCAACAGTGCTTGACATGCTCATGTCAATTATGCCTGAACGCCTTTGTCAGTGTATCGCACATAAATAGGAATATATGAAAAGATGAAATTTTCATGTCACCGCCGCTTTTTCCATTGCTATAAGACGAAAAAGTATGTTCGCGTAATTACTTTCCACCCGTAATGACATGATGTGGAGATGGAATTAAATTGATGAAATACTAGGACTTACTCCACAAGGAGATCGAATGGGTCGGAGCGCTTTCAATATGTATTATACATATCGTCGTCAGCGAATCAATAACGGGTCGAATCGAGTCGGGTATCGAAGAGTCAAAGTCGGGTACTCTTCGATACCCGACTCGATTCGACCCGTTATTGATTCGCTGACGACGATATGTATAATACATATTGAAAGCGCTCCGACCCATTCGATCTCCTTGTGGAGTAAGTCCTAGTATTTCATCAATTTACTTTCCACCCTGTACTATAGGTATTGTTGTGGACTGTGGTATGTAAAATCAATGCCGTTTATTTTGGGATTTGTCGATAACCGCAGATATTCCTTTGATTAAGAAAGAAACGTCAGTCTTCCACAGGCGTTATTCGACCAAAAAATAATTGTCTCTGATTTAACATCATCATATCATGTCTGATCTGGCATGTATCCTCTCAAACTCAGTTCACATTGATCGCAGTGGTGTATCTGAGTATGTAGGTATATCGACAGTGAAAACTGTCCGGATTACATTACGAGATGTGCCCTTGATGAGGTGTGCACTGGTAGATGCACCTTGCCTCTGTCTTCCGCCTGACTCATTCTCCGGCTCCCGACCCGGCCCGGTCCGGTCTGCGCCTCTGTCTGTCGAACCCGGCCCGGTCTGTGTCTGTCTACCCCAGTCCGGTCTGTGTCTGTTTCAACCGGTCCGGTCTGTGTCTGTCTAACCCGGTCCGGTCTGTGTCTGACCCGGTCCGGTCTGTGTCTGTCTGGCCCGGTCCGGTCTGTGTCTGACCCGGTCCGGTCTCCACCTAACTCTGCTAACTGCTGTTTTCCCTCCCTGCCCTGTCTCTGTTGTTCACTCTCCATCCCTGGTGTTCTCCGTCTCTGTCTCTGTTGTTCTCCCTCCCCGCCCGGCCTCTGATGTTCTCCCTCTCTGTCCCTGGTGTTCTCCCTCCCTGTCTCTGTTGTTCTCCCTCCCCGCCCGCACTGCGTGTGATCCGTGTCTCGCCGCCGCGGACCGGGCGACCCGACTGAATTAGACGAGTCGATCGGCGCCACGGCCGCGGCCGCTATTGATTGGGGTGTGGCGGCGATTGAGTGCGCCTCCTCGCCGTCCGAGCGGTGACGGCGGCCGGTCACACCGGACGGTACGGGGCCTCAGCTGCGGGCCGGGCCGAGCCGCAGGGGAGCCAGGTCATTGCCACAGAGGGTACCGGGGTCGGCGACCGGGGACAGAACTGGTGCCGATCTCGACGGGCAGGTGTCAGGCCGGCGGTCGGACGCTGTTTTTGTCCGACGTCCCCTAGTCTCGCCCCTCCTGGGTCGCAGTCTGTTCCTTCCCCGGCGGCGGCGCCTTCCCGAGCTGTCGGGGCCCTGAGCGGCCGACTGGGGCGCTCGGCGCGGTGCGCGCGCACGTGTGACGTCATACCAGTCAATACGGGCGGCCGCTGGAGCGGGGCCGGCGGCGGCCGGTCGGTGCTGTCCCAGCCCGATATCGGAGTCGGATCTGTCGGTGTCCGATCGGGATAGACTGTGGGAGTGATCGCGTGCTGGTGGACGAGGTGGGAGTGCTCACTGCTGGCTCGCTGGCGCCGACCGCCGGGGAATTTCGGCTGAGGTGAGAGCCTCGGCGCCGACTTGCTGACGGCTTACCGAGACAATCGATTCGGCGCGGCGCGTCCGGTATCCCATATTTGGCCCGGTTTTCGGGCCAGTCTGTGGCATATGTGTGGACAAAGCAAGCCGCTGGCACAGTCAAAATGCAAATCAGGAAGCATTTTGACGATTGCTAAATGTTTTAGTCAGCTTCGGAATTTTCATTGTGCGCTTAAATGCTGCATTGAGATGGGCGTTTTGATAATCGATTCGACCTAATTATGTGTTTAACAGTACCTACTGGCTACCTGTCGTGTTATAATGATCGATTTTGTAACCAGTAAGCGTCAGTCTTACCGTTTCCCTTTGCGCCTCTTTGCTTTTAACGTCAAGGTCATGCACTTTCTGTCGCCCTCCCGTCGTGAAGTCAGCCCTTTGGGCGCTGTCCTGCCATCTGGGTGGCTCAAGCTGACGGCATTTCTGGCTCTTCCAGCACTGCCAACATCACTCCCAGCGACGTTGAAAGAAGTAAAGGTGGATAATCGGATTATCCACCTACCTGATCACAAGGCTATACCATCACCGAGCTAAGAACAAGGCATGACGTCAAGAGCAATGAATTGAATCAATCGCCACTGCCGAGTCGGCAGGTTCGTGGGACAGGGGGAATACGGAGCGGGGAGCGGCCACTTAGCACCTGGATAATTATCATAATCCCCTGACTATCCGTTGCCCTCGGGCCCTCAGGCGCCCCTCCCCGCTCCGTATTCCCCCTGTCCCACGAACCTGCCGACTCGGCAGTGGCGATTGATTCAATTCATTGCACTTGACGTCATGCCTTGTTCTTAGCTCGGTGATGGTATAGCCTTGTGATCAGGGATGCGGAGCCGTGGAAATTTCAGACGGCTCCGGCTCTGGGTGAAATGTCATGGCGGCTCCGGCTCCGGCTCCGGCTCCGAGTAAAATGATCTGGCTCCGGCGGCTCCGGCTCCGGCCTCTACTCAGTACATCCCCTATGCGATCAATTAAATACGGGTGGAAGAAAAAAGGCGATGGGATTGGTACACGTTGCTTCTGTATTTGTATAACAAGGCTATTTTGAATACCACATTGTTTTACGCCTTGTACTGTCAAACCGAACTAGGTAAATAATTGTTTCCTCTTAAGAAAAGGAGCCGGAGTCGCCCCCTTTTTTGACGGCTCCGGCTCCGGCTCCGGGCTATATTGTTTCACGGCTCCGGCTCCGGCTCCGGCTCCGGGCAAAATATGCCGGCTCTGGCGGCTCCGGCTCTTGCTCCGGCTCCGCATCCCTGCTTGTGATAGTTAACAGTCACTGAAGTTTGTGTTTGTCTAGTGCCATTTAGCTCATAACCAGCTCTTAATTTTCTTCGCTGCAGTCTTGGTTGGCTTCCTCTGTCTGGTGGGATGGGCACGATGCAGGCTGCAGCCGAGATATCGCCGTTAACGGGCTATCCCCGCGAAGACACGCAACGTTGAGGTGACTATGTGTCAAAATGCGATGCTAAGATTTTACCTGATTGATGTGTTTTTAAAGCAATTATACCCAACTTCAGAGGTTCTTCAAATGGGCCTGCTAGCTTCGACAGCGGATATGGGGACCTATTATTGTTTTTGTGTTCATCTTCATACCAATGCATCTGTGCATTTGTTTCAAAAAGGACACCCAGTGGGGTAAAATTGTTAAACTGTTTCACGGTAGGTAGGTGCCAGGCATCAACTGCTTTTTTTAGTCGCATTGGTATTGGTAATCGCCCATCAGATAATTTACGATAATCAGGGGCGGATCCAGAAAAACTCTAAGGGAGGGGTCATGAATCGAAGTGGGGCACCCTACCTATACCCAAAATTTAAAACTCAACGGATTTCGGCCACTTTATTTTTGGTGGGGCCCTATTTTTAGTTTTTTCCTGTTTTTTTATTTTTGTTTTTTATTTTATTTTCCCCTGGCTCCTGGGCCCTAACAGAACTGTGGTGCCCCTGACAACCCTGAAGTGCCCGATAAGCCCAAGGTGCCCCTGGGCCCTGCGAAGCTGGTGGTGCCCCTGCGAGGCCGGTGGTGCCCCTGGCGGGCCTGTGGTGCCCCTGTCAGGCCTGTGGTGCCCCTGGGAATTGATAGGCAGGTGGTGGCCCTGGCAGGCCTGTGGTGCCCCCGTGGGGCACCACAAGGTCCCAAGGGGGGGGGGCATGACCCATATGACCCCCCCCCCCCTTGGATCCGCCACTGACGATAATATAGAATGTCCGACGTCTAGGGAGTAGGTACCGAGTAAGATGCAATGTGACTGATTAATTCAATTGAAACCATAAAAAACGTTTGTGGGTAGTCTTTAATTTGTAAAGCGAGGAAGCTCATCCAGGCACTGCTGTAAACTGCTCAGTATCCGGTTATTCACCGTTCACCACACAGCGCGTCACGCGGCTCTGAGCGGGTCCGGTCCGTCGGTCCCGCAGCCGCCTGCGTACGCCAGGGTAGGCTGTGCCGCCGAGCACCGGAGCGCTGCGGCACAGTATCCACAGCGCTGTCGTTTGTCGCGCCGGCAAGGGTGGCCGCCGAGGGGATTTTCTGACTATTTTGGCGCCCTTAGCTGCGGATAACTGGACTTTGGATTGAGCATCCGGTGAAAGTCCTTTGACGGGGTGGGGTCAAAACTCAAAGAAATGAATTCTGTTATGCTTTCAACGGAAATCGGAATGTGACATGGGGCAAGAATAAGATGAACTTCGACGAAGAATGATAGAGCCAAACAAGCTAACCGGTCACAGATGGGATGTGGGTTAGCCGCTCGGTCAAAGGTGAAAGCTCGCTGTGGGTATATAACTGCTTACTTTTCCCATATTGTTACCTTTGGATAATATTTTTTTTTTCGTAATGAAAAGTGTGTCCTATTTACATTACCGGAGGCCTCGTCCCATTAGATTACCGTTCGGACGCGCCGGTAATTTCCCAGCGGTGAGTGTGCTTGTCGTGCTCTGTGCCGCCGCGCACATGATCCGTCTCCCGTCCATCGACCGGCCCCGTCTGCCCGGCAGGTGACGTCACAGCGGCGGCGGACCGGGTGACGTCACACTATGTCGTCGGTCAAGGTGGCCGTGCGCGTGCGGCCGTTCAACGGCCGAGAGATCAGCCGCGAGTGTGACTGCGTCATCGAGATGGACGGCAACACCACCAGTGAGTGGATGAACGGCGGGGGAGGGAGGGAAGGAGGAGGGGTTCGTCAGGGGGGACGGTGGATTCAGCGGTCAAAGGATGGTGACAACTGACAGCTTTGAGAGTAAGGTAGCCTTTGAGAGTAAGGCACAACTGGCACTGGATCAAGGCATATTTTAAGGCACTTACTGCGTCCCATTCTGGGACGCAGCCCCCTCGCCTTGGGACGTAGCCCCTGCTGATTTGACCCACTGCGTCCCTGCCCTGTGCCCTGTCCGGTTTCCTGACCTGTACCCTTTCCTCTAAAATGTCCTGTGTCATGCCCTGTAACCTGCCGTGCCCTACTTTCTGCCCTCCTCATTGCCCTACTCTGTTCCTTGCCCTGTGCCCTTAGTCGTAGCACGTGCCCTCTGCTCAAATTTGGGACGCAGTAAAAATTTGTTAAAATATGCCCTGCACTGGATAGCCCCACAGCAGAGTAGCACGGGCTCTGCTCGGCACGATGTCCGTCAGTCACTCCTGTGTTGCCATGCCGCCGGTATTGTAGCAAGGCTTAAGTCACTTTCGATGTCTTCTGGCAGGGCTCTCAGGGAATGGCAGTAATGGATTGGTACTGACAAAAGGGTAAAGTAGGCATGTGTTTCCGGATTATTACTGTGTCGCTGGGCAACAAAATCGACCCGACCGAGCGGATTCGCGTCTGTTGCCTCAGACTGAGCCTGGATTGGAGTGTTTTCTGCAGACTGGGGTTAGACTCGGGTCACATCCCTGCCGACCGGGGATGATCTGTTGTCAGATTCCTACCACAGGGCGTCATTCGCTACGTCCGAGAGTGACGGGCCGCCCGTGTCTGTGGTGGGGAAGATGGGGAGTCGGGTCTGGTTAGGTCACGGGGACATGCGAGGGTCAGTGACGGACAATGTTTTCTCGGTACTCGGTGTAAATAGCGGCTCGGTTTTGTGACCACAGCCAACATTTGTAAATGGTTTGCTTCATAGATAATATTTTATGAGTATGTATGACTTTTCATGATATGTGGTTGTGCGATAATTCCGTAATAATGATGCACTGATTTTATTTATTTATTTTTTTCTAGTGCTTGTGTCACCATTGCTGTATTTCCCACTCGATTCCTCTCATGTTTCAGCTATCACAAATCCAAAGCAAATAAATGATAACATCAAGAGTTTTAATTTCGACTACTCGTACTGGTCAATAGAGGTGAGTTGGCTATCAGAGTGACGGCGCGATATTTTCAGTTATGTCATCAGCCTTTTTCAAGTGGCACAAACACCACGGTCATGTACCCCGAGAGTGACTTTCATTGGTATTTTAGCGAATGTTCTACATACATACATAGTCTTTATCGAGCTTTTTCGAGTCTGTTAATAATTATCATTAAAATTATTGTTTCCAGATTATGTAATTTGTTTGAGATCGGGGAAGTGCTTTTCTGTTTTCTGTTGTGTGAATTGTGAGCCTTTTACGTAAGTGGTCTTGAATTAAGTCGAAGCTGTCCCAACTTGGTGAAATGAGAAGTTTGTTCTCTCTGTCACCCATTTGAAGTTGAAGTTGATCTCTCTGATCCCTCAGACCCTACGGACCGCTCCTACCCCCGTGGACGACTAAATCGCTACACCGTATAACTTGTCTGTTGCGTGCTGAATTCAATATGTACGGTGCTGGCGTACGAACAGCGCGATGTGGCCAGTGCAGGCTAGCCGCGGGGTCAGGGGACCTAAAACTGTCCAGAGAGGCCAGTTTCACCAACAAAAAACAGACGGCTGCGATTATTTTTTGACAAAACGATAGTCTCAAAATGTCATTTACTGCTGAAAATACTAATCGCTGACTTGAAAAAAGTAATAACTTAGCTTTCAAGTGCTATATTATTTGGTCAGCAATTACTTTTTCCACCTGTAAAAAGGATTTATAGACTATCGTTTTGTCAAAAAATAATCGCAGCCGTCTGTTTTTTGTTGGTGAAACTGGCCTCAGTTTAGTTTAGTTTAGTTTATTGAGAGCATCATCAACGGGCATAGGAGGCCCAATTACAGATGAAGTCGAAGGTTAAAAATACACTTACATATGCCGACACACAGATAAATACACTTATAAAAAACAAATCAAAACATAGCAGTACCTACTTACGAACGTGGGCAACTACATGAGACTTGAAAGACGCAGTGCTGCTCGTCCACACGTCTATCTCACGGTTGCAGTCCAAGAAGCCATTGCAGAGCTTTGCCATGCGACAGAAAGGACTGTTCATCACTGTGTTCACCCGTGCGTACGGTACATGGAAGAGAATCCTTTTTCGCAGGGGGCGATGCGGCACGGCCAGCGGGAAACACTCCAGCAGATACGATGAATCCACAGCATTACGGTGAACATTGCAGATGAACATAATATCATGCTGCTGACGCCGCACCTTGAGGGGTGACATGTGATGGTATTTGAGCAGGGCATCGTACTCGAAAGACACGCCCTGGACACCACACCTGCCAGATAACCATATTAAAACTTGTGCTGTACGCGCTCTATTCGAGTCATGTGCACCTCTGCGGCTCCTCCCCATACCACACTAGCGTACTCAAGAATGGAGTTCAGTATCCTCACTCGCCTGGGAATGGAATCGACGTGTCTCAGGTGCCTAGCCCCAGACTACCGGCCCTTTTGACCCGCCTCGACGCCTTGGTACAGTTTCAGCGCGTCGGCGGGCTAGTGACAGCGACAGATGATAGTACGAGTGACAACACAGTTGACAGAACGTGACCTTTAGGAGCCGACTGACCTACCAGAATGACTGATCTAACGCGGATATCCATATCATATTTTCCTTCCAGACTACGGCTACTGATGTATTTACACGCAGGGTTGTGTTCTGAAGTGAGGCGACTACCGACTTTCATTCTTATCGAGCATGTACTTGTAAGTCGTAGCTGAGGTATTTTGACCCGATACACATGTATGGGTACAGCCCTCTGCAAACTGCGTGGTAGGTATTCTGTTTTCGACAAAAACGACAATAACGAGAATACTATGCTATCGGTCATTCGGAAATCGTGACAGCAAGACGCGCGAGACTCCACACCGTAAAATGGCATCATCACCGTATTCATTTTCCATCTAGTTCGGCAACAAAACCCAAAAGTTTATATTTGCCCCCAAAACAAACTTTTGCATTTGTTGCCACACAAGGCGTTTACCTTGTTTAGTGATAGACCTAATCGAAGGAGTGAAGCATGGCGCATCTATTTGCAGTGAGTTCCGACCGACTGATAGCATAGCCTTTGAGTTATTATCGGTTTTGTCGAATAAAGAATACCTACCACGCAGTCTGCTGAGGGCTGTACATTTGTTTGGAACGTGGTTTAGTCGTATAAATAGGGTCGAGTTCATCCATTAAGGTGATGACCTGCTATTAGTTCCAATTGTCCTTTGATGAACACAAAAGTGCAGCTCGTTGCTAATGCCGAGAAGATGGTACCTTTATAATATAAAGGTACCATCTTCTCGGTACCATACCAAACCTTTGTAATATAAAGGTACCATCTTCTCGGTACCATACCAAACCTTTATATATAAAGGTACCATCTTCTCGGTACCATACCAAACCTTTATAATATACATAAAGGTACCATCTTCTCGGTACCATACCAAACCTTTATAATATAAAGGTACCATCTTCTCGGCATTAGCAACGAGCTGCACTTTTGTGTTCACCAAAGGACAATTGGAACTAATAGCAGGTCATCACCTTAATGGATGAACTCGACCCTATTTATACGACTAAACCACGTTCCAAACAAATGTACAGCCCTCAGCAGACTGCGTGGTAGGTATTCTTTATTCGACAAAACCGATAATAACTCAAAGGCTAAGTTTATATCAATTCAGTGGATGTGAGACACTATTTGTCAATCCTTTGATTTTCAGTCACTGGGAGATACCACCCATCACTTTCATTATTTCTCTTTGATGCACCGTTTTTCTGCTGATCACAATGTGCCGCAAAGTGTATGAGAAGGACGAAAGCAAGGGCTTGTTTGCTTTTGCTGGTTTGTTTTTGTTTTAAAGCTTGTTTTTGTAGCGGAGTATTTGCGGGAAAATGCAATGAGGTTTGCTTGCGGCGGCTGGAGCTAGTATAGGCGCCTACAGGCGAGGAGGTTCTTTCTTATATCGAGTGGACTGGTATGGGGAGAGCTAAGGGCTATTAGAGAAATCGTACGGATCAGTCAGATGGCATCCGATCAATCAGAAATATCATTCCTAGTGGTAATGTCAGGTGCGCTTTATAGAGTTTTGTTTTGGATTTTCATTAGAGCGGTAATATTTAGTTTGGCCGAATTCAGCTCTTTTCTCGCACTGCAGGTCCGCTTACTGTATGTCAGCTACACCCTCGCATGACGATTGCCGCTGGCTTCCTAACACAAACTAATGGCGTATTTGCAGAACGGTAATGGAGGCTGATGCTGGTATCAAATGTGCCTGATAGTGATTGGTCAAATTATTGGCTCGTATTCGATATGACTGATGTACGAGCTCAATTTGGCTCAATTGATCGCCATCGAGGTAGGCTCATAATGAAAATCATTTTTGTGCGTCCGGTGAAATAACGTCAGAACTTGCTCACTTATATGTATGTTCATATTCTGTGTTGGGACTCGTTACGATTCACTGCTCACAGTGGCTGAAATTACGCGGCAATTTTTCGTTCCTCCCATGGGTCGAGCTTGATATTTATATGTATTATTGAAATCGTTGAAATGATCTTTCAAACCAGTGAGAAGTAATTTCTCTTCTAACCATATTCGAGAAATAGAAAAGACCATGTCGATATACCTACTGCTTATCAGGCACGTCCAATGTTCGCCTGAGCGCTACCGTCATCGCCTTGGTCAACACAAAGTTGGGTAATTTCATTTATAAGTATTCCATAGTTAGTTAGGTACTATCGCAGTACCTGTACTGCGATCATTCATTGCGTGAACTCGGCCACAGCTGATAACAGGCCAACGTAAACGGATCTGAATGTGTCCGGGCTCGGGCCTGAATGTGTTCTGAGATAGTGTGTTGGGGCACGGAACCCCGCGGTGAGAACCTACCGAATCAGGCAGCAGCTCCTCCATGTTGCCGGCGATGTCTCTGCCTCTGGCGGCTCTGCGCAGGGCCGGCGGACCGCCGCGACTGGCTCCCAGACGGCCGCCGCTGGAGCTGTGAGTCCCCCCGGTGCGGCGTCACTGAGGTCGGCCGGTCACTGTCCCGACCGCACTGCCGTCGGTCACTGCGGCACACTGCCGCGCTCAGCGGCACGGGACGCGCCCCCAGTCAGAGAGCTATCGTGCCGCCCCGGGCAGAGGTCAACCCTGGAGCTCTCAACGAGCGGGCGCGGCCCAGTTTGATCCGCCTTTGTGCGTATAGAGCCGGGTGGACCTGCACTGCACTGCACTCGAGGCAGAGATAGCCCGTATTACGCAGTAGGACATGTTATTTCATTTCATTTCATCACTGATATGGCCACTCGTGAGACTGAGCGGAATGTAGTGAATGAGCATTGAGTGAACAAATTTGAGCAGCGTATCAGGCCTAGGGAACACTGTCGATGAGACGTTCTCCTGACGTACACATTTAGTCTCGATGGTAAACAACAGACGACTCATGACAGGATGACGACTTGAAGGCTGCTGCGCTTCCTGTTCCTTATACTCCTTATATGTTTCAATGGCTGCCGCTTTTCTGTCCCACCGGCACCCGATGCCTGCCGTCTGCAGGCGACGCCTGGCGCACCCCCTGTGTGTGACCTGTGTGCCGCCCCTGTGTCGAACCCTCCTGCCTCCCTGTGACAGAACATTCCCTCTGCAACTGCCGCAGCCGGCCGCCCCGCAGTTCGCATCACAGGAGCGCGTCTATCAGGATATCGGTGTCGAGATGCTCGACCACGCCTTCGAAGGTACGTGACGTAACGACCGTCCACGGATTTTGTAGTTCTGCGGTAGCAGTGGTCCCTCATCAAATGTCGTGCAGTCGAAACGGAGCATTTAATTTTGCTCAGCCTGAATTATGTCGGCCCTTAGTCGTCACTGGAGCGTCCTATTGTGCTGAAATGCGTGATTTATCGGAGCATCTTTGGCTCCACACCTGCCCGTCTGACGGATTTCTCCGCACTGTCCCTCAGGCTACAACGTCTGCATCTTCGCGTACGGCCAGACGGGCGCGGGCAAGTCGTACACGATGATGGGCAAGCCGGACGGTGACCAGGAGGGTATCATCCCGCGGATCTGCCGTAACCTGTTCCAGCGCATCTCGAACGACGCCGAGCCAGAGGCGCAGTACTCTGTGGAGGTCAGTCGGGGTCACTTTCCGGGGGGGGGAGAGTGGGGTGCCCGTCCTTTGAGACGCACGCTGGATATTCGTGGTGCTGCTGTATAAACCCATGAGAATGGAGTACTTTTGTGGCGTCTTACCGGGAACAGCGCATGCAGCTTCCTCTTCGGAGATTCCTCCAGTCATAAAGCTACTTAACTACGACATCACAACTCCTGCCAAACTTTTACATCGTATGCATAATTGACAATGTAATAATTGCTGGAAAAATGGTGACGCACTACGCCGCCGTTTTTTTTTCGATTTTAAAGCTCATTGAATGGAGTGGCTCGATGCCAGCTTCTCTCCGACACGGCTGGAGCCAATGCCGTGTGTTTCCACTCAGTCATGCATCTATAGCTCCCATACATCTCCTAGCAGATTTATGGGATCCATATCCGCGCTGCGGAGCCATTGCTCTCTCAGTGAGTGACGGACCGCTCCTCGGCCTGTACCCACAGGTGAGCTACATGGAGATATACTGCGAGCGCGTCAGGGACCTGCTCAACCCCAAGAACAAGAACCACCTGCGGGTGCGCGAACACCCGCTGCTCGGTCCGTATGTGGAGGACCTCTCCAAGCTGGCGGTGACCGCCTACGAGGACATCCGAGACCTAATGGACGAGGGCAACAAGGCCAGGTGAGGAGCGGGAGGAGTAAGAGTAAGGGACAGACCAAGCACCTGAACGCGGAGGGAAGGGGGCGAGCGTGGGAGCGCGGACTTTGATGGCACTAAGGTGCGGCGGTATTCGGTCAGTCAGCCTAAGCTTGAAGCTCTAGGATGTGCGTTTGGAAGACCATTTGCGAACCGTAGCTGTCAGCCTTGAATATTGTGATGGTAACGAACAGCAGTATAGGTTTTCTGATGTTTTGTTGCATTTGTGGAGAGATGTTCTAGTTCGCTGACTGACTTTATTGTGCGTTGTGACTCGACTTAGTGCCATGTAACGTCTCGTGTTTCCACCGCCGCCCCACAGGACGGTGGCGGCCACCAACATGAACGAGACGTCCAGCCGGTCCCACGCCGTCTTCACCATCATCTTCACGCAGCGGAAGTACGACGCGGCCACCGACCTCACCTCGGAAAAGGTAACCACTCGGACGAACTGCCTTCAAGCTGAGCAGGGACGTCGTCTCGGCTCAGCGCTGAGGACGATCATGTCACTGCCCCAGCTCTACCACCGCTCCGTTTTCCATTCAGTCTATACTGTGCAAAATGTGTCATAGTAGTGGGATATGCTCCCTCGGCCCCCGATCCTGTTTCCTCTTTGGGTCATCTGTAAGACAAACGTCAGTATCCGCCCCCTCCGGCCATTTCGGCCATTCACTGAAACCCAAATGCGTCGTTTAGTGGCCAATGGGGTCGTAAAGCCGAACAGCTTCCTGAGAGCTGCAGGGCTGTGCGGTATGCGATGTGCAGGGTACTCGCCGACCTTCTCTGTCGCCCCTGACGGTCCCTTCTTCTTCACGCACATACCAGCCTCTCCCTTCTGACCCCGCTGACCATTCTGCGGCGTCCCAGGTCAGCAAGATCTCGCTGGTCGACCTGGCGGGGTCGGAGAGAGCCGACTCCACCGGAGCCAAGGGCACCCGGCTGAAGGAGGGAGCCAACATCAACAAGTCGCTGACCACCCTCGGAAAGGTCATCTCGGCACTTGCTGAAGTGGTGAGTACTGGCAACACGCTGAGAACGGCCGGGGACTGACGTGGATGGTGGGGTGGCGGGCGGGTACAGGGCGTGATCACATCGTGTGGCAGGTGGGCGTTTTGATGTGCCGGATGTTTGTGGTTCCAGTGTCGGTGCTCAGTGTGATCGGGCCGGTTGCTGCTGAGTTTATTGCTTGGAGGCGTTATTGTGGTCTTCCAATTTGGAAAAATTCCTCCATTCATTCAGTAAACGACGGGACTATAATTGCACTGCCCTGCGTCTGCAATATTGTTTGCGCCGACCGTCCAAGTTAAACTCGATTTTTTATCGGCGCCTTTCTCGGTGCACCGGTAAGTCTCTCTTGAAAGTATCGCGACTCTGAGGGAAGGCGCCACCTGTTCCAGCCGCGGTCGAGCGGAAAGGTTTGAGAGCCGCTGGTAGCACTGACCGGAGCCTGACACGCGGAGGCAGCCGTGAGCCGGCGCGGCGGGCCGAGGGGAGTGGTTGCGGACTGCGGAGGGATAGGGGGAGGTGGCAGACGCCATCTGGTAACTTGTGATGGCAGCAGGCATGTGCATGGGTGAAACTTTGACATCACCATTGGGGTCCCAAACGTCCGAGGGGGCCTCCATTTAGTGGGGGCCTCCAAGCAATTAGGGGCCTCCAATTGCGGAAGCGGTAATTTACGAGCCACGCCAGGGCCTCCTCTAAGAAATTTTCACTGGGGGACCAGAGGCTCAGAAGCCAAACCTAGGGTACCCCCAAATCCAGTTTTATCATCAGATTTAGGCCACTTATTTTTCGTCACAGCCCGGATGCAATGATTTAATTTTTTTGAATATTAATAAAGAAATGGTAGGTCACCTGACCCTTCTGGTGGATCCAAGCCAGCAGGGTGACATTGTATGTAAATATACCCCGCGGCGTCCGAAATCGACGAAAATTTCTGGCTTTTCACTTTCAACAATAAAACAAAATGCCTTTATATTTACTATAGAAAAAAAAGAAGAATTTAATGGTACAGCATTGCGCAACGAATCTAGCCGACCCCAGAAATTGTGAGGCTTAACCCTCGCCCGCACCTGGGGGAGGGTTGCCACCCCAAGTTAGTTTTTCTGCTCTACACTGAACATTTTTAAAGCTAGAAACCTGATTTTTTGATAGCTGCTTTTCTATCTTTTCTCAGCGTCCGCTTTGAAAATTTCCAGTTTCTGTGGCTTTTGGGTTTGGAGATATGACCTTGTTCTTCAGGTCATGTCATGACCTAAATGACGAATACCCAATATCTTGCGTTGGCTATGGGCCTGATGAGCTTTTGACACCTTGATTTCCGCTTTTTTTTGCCAGTCTTACCTCCCACCAATCATTGAACATGTTGTTCTGCGATGTACAGATGTCAGGGTCAGGGTCAAGGTCAAACTAGGTCATCTAAATTATTTTCGTGAAGTTTCCTTGACTGCATGTTTAGTAAAAGCTTCACAGTTCATGATCTCATGTAATAGGGACACACAAACCAATATGTGCACACATCAGTACATACTACATACACAGACGTCAGACATACAAACCCATATCATTGACCTTGACCTTACTTGACGTGAAATGACAACAGTCAGCAAATTAGTCGGATAATGTGACAAAGAGCTGTTCTAACTGGCTTGGCACCAATACGGCAGCGTCATCGGTATATGATGGGTTGGCCCGCTGCTTTAGGTATTTTATCGACATCACCACAATTTATTCAAACAAGATTTTAAGCTTCGCGGTCAAGAGCAACAGATTCTTTGGGAAGAGACGAATCCAATGATACCAAATTTAACCTCATCAAGTCAGGGTATTTGTCATTTGGGTAATGACATCACCTGAAGAATCAGGTCATATCTCCGAAACCAAAAACCACAGAAACTTGAAATTTTCAGTGGACGCTAAGAAAGGATAGAGCAAGAGATATACGAAACACCCGGCTTCTAGCAATCAAAATGTTGAGTTCAAAGCAGAAAAAAGTACCGGGGGGGGGGGTGTGGCAAGCAATTCCCCTCTCATGTGCGGGCGAGGATTAAATAATTTGAATATCAGGAAAACAATTTATTCAAATACCTAGGCATTCCAACAGAGTCCCGCTTTTTTATAGGTGACCTCCGATTTGTGTAGCCTCTAAGCTGCCCAGGGGGCCTCTTACTTGTAGGTACATTACATAGAGCCTCCTACTTCGACTACTTGCACAGAGAGCCTCCTTTTTGTACATACAGCTAAGCTTCTACAGGTCGAGCGCCGGCCTCCTATTTGTACGTGCAGAGAGCCTCCTGCTGTTACAGAGGGTCTCCTATTTGTCTAGGGGGCCTTCTATTAATTAATGGCGCCTCCTATTTGTCCAAGCGGCCTTCTAAAAGTCTAGGGGGCCTCCTATTTGTCCAGGAGGCCTCCTGTTTGTCCAGATGGTCCCCTATATTTATCCAGGGGGCTTCTATTTTCCAGGGGGGCACCTCTTTATCCAGGGGGCCTCCTACATGTTCAGGGGCCTCCTATTTGACCAGGGGCCTCCTATTTATCCAGGGGTCTTCTATTCTACCAGGGGTCTCATGTTTGTGCAGGGGCCTCCTATTTGTCCAGGGGTCTCCTACTTGTCCAGGGGCCTCCTTTTTTGAAGGGCCTCCTTTTTGTTAAGAGAGCCTTCTATTTGTCCAGGGGGCCTCCTATTCGTACAGAGGGCCTCTAGCTCCTACTTGTCCATGGGGCCTCCTATTTGTTCAAGAGGCCCCCTATTTGTACAAGGGGCCTCCTATTTGTTCAGGGGGCCTCCTAGTTGTCCAAGGGGCCTGCTATTTTTCTAGGGGGCCTTCTATTTGCCCAAGAGGCCTCCTATTTGTCCAGGGGGCCTCCTACGTGTTCAGGGGACCTCCTATTTGTCCAGGGGGCCTCCTATTGGTTAAAGTAGTCTCCTATTTTCCAAGCGGCCACCTATTTATCCAGAGGGCTCCTATTTTTAGGGGCCTCCTCTTTATCCAGGGTGCCTCCTGTTTATCCAGGGGCCTTCTATTCATCCAGGGGGCCTCTTATTTGTCCAGGGGGCCTCCTAATTGTCCAAGAGGTCTCCTTTGTGAAAGGGGCCTCCTATTTGTCCTGGGGCTCCTAATTGTCCAGGGGGCCTCTTTTTGTGAAAGGGGCCCCCTGTTTGTCTAGGTCTAGGGCCTCCTATTTTTCCAGGGGGCCTCCTATTTGTACAGAGGGCCTCCTACTTGTCCATGGGGCCTCCTATTTGTTCAGGGGGCTTCTTTTTGGTACAGAGGGCCTCCTATTTGTCTAGGGGCCTCTTATTTGTCTAGGGGCCTCTTTTGTCCTGGGCCTCCTATTTGTCCAGAAGGCCTCCTGCTTGTCCAGAGAGCCTCCTATTTCTCCAGAGGGCCTCCTATTTATCCAGGGGGCCTCCTACTTGTTCAGGGGGCCTCCTATTTGTCCAGGGGGCCTCCCATTTGTCCAACAGGACCTGCGATTTGTCCAAGGGGCCTCCTATTTAGACAGAGAACCTTCTATATGAACATCGGACCTCCATTTGTAAAGTAGCTGGGGCGTCTCGGGGGCCTCCACTATTGGGGTCCCAAAATGACAATTGGGGTCCCAAATGTTCGCATTGGGGTCCCACATGGGACCTCAAAAGTATACAAAGTTACACCCATGGGCATGTGGTCAACGGAACCCAACCTACTCGCAGAGGATTTGTAGAGATCTGTTTCATTGCAAAGTTAATAATTTCAGCCGTCATCGGCACGACTGTCACATTTTTTGTTTTTTGTTTTTGGTAAGATCCGGAAACCCGTGCACAGTGATGCAAATGGGGTTCACGAGTGGCCATAAATACCCAAAAGTCAAGTTTACCAAATCGAGTTAATTGCGATATGGCCGAATAGACAAATGTTTGGGGCATCTGAAATCACATGGTTTTCATGTTTTAGTCAAAACCGGCCTCGTGTATAATCGTCAGAAGTCGTGACATTTTCTAGGTCGTAAAATGGCGGTCAGACACTCGCAAATTCAAACGCCGCTGGTTTGCGTTCATTTCGTACAAATTGAAAAAAATATGCATGGGAATGATCCCCAAAGCCTTCTGCTTCTAATGCCGGGTTACAAAAAGCCGTATCTCATTCGCTTGGGCGGTAATCTGACTATTTGTCATCATGTTGCAATCGCAGTTTTTTACTAAGAAAAAAATGCTTTCGTTTCACCTACAGCACTTAACACAGTGTGTGCCCGTTAGTCCACCATACCATAGCATTCCCTAATCATTTCTGAGTCGCATCGTGAAAGAATTAAGGCGCTAGCACAGGGCTGGCCGGCGCTACAGAGGTTTTTGTCCGGGCGGTCGGGTGTCGCAGTGGGCGCGCAGTGGGCGGGTGGATGCCGCCGCGCGGCGTCCGGGCGGCGCGGCGGTGCGGCCGCCCGGGCCGCCCGCTGCGCCTCGGCACCCGACCGTGCCGGACGAAAACTTCTGTAGCGCCGGTCAGCCCTGTGCTAGCGCCTTAATTCTTTCACTATGCGACTCAGAAATGATTAGGGAATGCTATGATATGGTGCACTAACGGGCACATGTAGTAGATTGCCCCACCCCTGGCTGCGCCAGTGGCTCATGTGCCGCTGTACCTGGCGCCGCCCCTGACTCGGCCCGCGGCGCACGGCCTGAGCCGAGGCCGCGGTTCAATAAACCAGTACAGAACGGACCGCCGTGGTGTAACATTGGCGACGAGGACGCGCGGCTCGCGTGGAACTAGCCAAGGATGGCTGGTGTGGGGAGAATGGCGGAGTTCGACCCACAGGCCGAAAGTTTTGGGACCTATTCACGGCGCATGGAACAATTTTTCATCGCTAATGGTGTAAAGGAAGAGGAAGAAGTGCGTCGACGAGCAATCTTCTTGAGTGTGGTGGGCAGTGACGTGTTTAGCCTACTCGAGGACCTGATCGCGCCGGCCACGGTGAGCTCACTTAGCTACAAGGAGATCATCAAACTCCTGCTGGGACATTTTGAG